CTGATCGCGCTAAGGTAGCTGTGTGGCGGTGCGGTGGTGGTGGTACGCAATTTTTTTTCACGTGGTGGGTGAAGGAAGAAAAGGAAAAAATGGAACGCGTTAGTCGCTGGAGGAGAGAGATGCACTCCAAAAATGACTGCAGTCGGATTATTTTCGGGATGATTCAGGCAGAGGTGGTGGATCAACGAGCCAATTGCCACTTTCTACGCTTGGGGGCGCCTTTATATTTTTCACGAAACGAATGGAGTATTTTTCTTTTTTCTTGGCCTCTCGCGTGATGCCTACGACGTAGCATCACTGCAGGAGAACCAAGTCTGCTACAATGGCGACATCCATAAATGAGACAAGACTGCACCTCGCAGCACAATTGAGGCAAAGAAAGCTGGACAAGCGTGGAACGAAAAGGAAGGGTGGAGATGTACGATATGTCTGTCAACGCACCTTCGGCCGTCGTCGTAGTTCTCGTCGACCGTCCCCTCGAGCAAGTCCCACGACTCCACGTGGGTGCCGTCAAGCATGATCTCGCCGCCGTGCGCCCGGACGTTGATGAACTTCTCCGCAGAAGAGGCCAGCAGGAGGTGGTCGCAGTCCCCGCCCTTGCTCAACCCTGGGTCGATCGGAGGGAGGAGGACAAGAGGTGCAAGACTAGACAAAGTTGCACGGCTGCTTTCATCGCATGCATAGGGCTTTCTTTCATCGCACGCATAGGGTGTGGTATGGAAAACAAAGCTGAAGACGGAGCTCACCCGTTAGAGAGTTAGTCATAGGCGGGGGAATGGGGAACGAGAAGAAGAGCGGATGGAGATTTGTAGCGTAGGTTTCGGACAAGAGTTTTTCTTTTCAGAGGGCGACGACGGATAGACCTCCAGTACATAGGCCATATGCTGTGCGGTGGTAGTCTATAGAAGAACTGCAGTTGGCTGAATTGCCTGAAAGAGGTAATGTAAACTCGGCGTGTCTCACACCTTGCGGACGATAGGTTCAGCAGGAAACACACCAACCATTGTGTACATGTTACAGCAGGCACAACAAATGAGAATGTGAGAATGATATTCAGTACCACTGTCGGCGTCTGCATAGATCGGCAACAACACGTCGAAGATATAGACTACGTTTTTTCCAGTATTTTATCTTTTTTCCCCTTGTCCAGCAGCTACACTTTGGCCAACGAAATATAATTCCCGTCACTCCACTCGACTTGACTCACCCTGCACCACGAGTCTCGCGCCCTCGGTGACGTAGAGGCTGGACCCGAGGTACCAGGACCCCGTGACGTTGTTCGTGATCCCCCCGGTGGTCTCGTCGAACGGATAGACAGGACCCTTGTTTTCGCCCGTGTAGGTGTCGATGCGGGACTCGTAGATGTCGGTCATGGTTGCGTAGGCCCCGTTTTCCAAGTACCTGTTGAGGAGGAGGGAGAGGTAGCGCAGCGTGAACGAGTCGTGCGTCGCAACCTGCTTGATGTAGTCCATGCAGCCACGTAGGTCCAGTCGTCACGGGTATTCCGAGACTTCGGACTACGTGTAAGTCCGGCTGGCAGTCATACGTAGTGTTGTACATACCGGGGTAAACCTTAATAGTTTCTATGATCGTCTAGCTAGTCTACATGCATGCAACTTTGCCCATACATCCACAACAATACCCATACACAACACCAATCTTGTTGGTGCATGTGTAGACTGATGAACTCCCTGACCAGCAATCAACGTTGGGGAAATTCGGATCTTGGAAGATAGANTGTAGTCGAACGGTGAGACGGACGTGTAGTTCAGTTTTGGGCACGCGTACGGTGCTGCAGGGATTATATATAGGTGTAGTAGTACCTCTTCGGGCTCTTGGATACCTTTTTCTTGCTACGTGTGCGTGTTCTTTAGATCCTCAGATGGCTCTAGCACTTTCGTGACCACGGGCTGAGAGTCTTTGCTAGATTTTGGCATTCAGCAACTGGCATACGGTTTAATGTGAAGTCAACAACAACAACAACAACATGTGTAGACTGATGAACTCCCTGACCAGCAATCAACGTTGGGGAAGTTCGGATCTTGGAAGATAGAAACAACACCGAACGGCAGATTCAGCAGCAGCAGCAGCGGCAGCAGCAGTGCGGCATCCTCATGTTGAATCCATTCTAATAAATCTCTCCGGCGTCCACACTCACAATCTGTCGGACATTGTGCTCCATCGGATGTAGTCCGTGATGTTGTGGTTCACCAGGTCCATGTTCTTTAGATCTTCCGATGGCTCTAGCATTTTTGTGACCACGGACCGAGTCTTTGCTAGATTTTGGGATTAGACTAGTCTAGCAACAGACACGAGTTTAATGTGAAGAACAACAACAACAACAAACANCATCCACAACAATACCCATACACAACACCAATCTTGTTGGTGCATGTGTAGACTGATGAACTCCCTGACCAGCAATCAACGTTGGGGAAATTCGGATCTTGGAAGATAGAAACACCGAACGGCAGATTCAGCAGCAGCAGCAGCGGCAGCAGCAGTGCGGCATCCTCATGTTGAATCCATTCTAATGAATCTCTCCGGCATCCACACTCACAATCTGTCGGACATTGTGCTCCATCGGATGTAGTCCGTGATGTTGTGGTTCACCAGGTCCATTGGGGGGCAGTTTGTTGCAACCGTTGTCCCCGCCGCGGATCGCGTGTTGCCCGAAGCCGCTGCCCCGAGCACTGCCAAGATTTTTGCGGCCGCGCCGTTTGGTCTTCCNATTGTGCTCCATCGGATGTAGTCCGTGATGTTGTGGTTCACCAGGTCCATGTTCTTTAGATCTTCCGATGGCTCTAGCATTTTTGTGACCACGGACCGAGTCTTTGCTAGATTTTGGGATTAGACTAGTCTAGCAACAGACACGAGTTTAATGTGAAGAACAACAACAACAACAAACAATTGGGGGGCAGTTTGTTGCAACCGTTGTCCCCGCCGCGGATCGCGTGTTGCCCGAAGCCGCTGCCCCGAGCACTGCCAAGATTTTTGCGGCCGCGCCGTTTGGTCTTCCTCCTCCTTCTCGCACCATCCTTTGAGAACAACTAACTGCGGTGATGTGTGTTGAGTTCCAACTGCACCGTGTGCTCAGCAGAAGCTGTGTGTGGAGGGGCGAGCGTGGTTGCGGCAGGAGGCTGGGCAGGAGTCTGGGAGGACAGGAGAAGTTGTGGGCGGAGATGGGGTTGTGAGGGGAAACGAACCGAGGAGGGGCGTTAGGTTGAGACCCGTGCAAACCGTTCGTAGCGCGGACCGTCGAAAACAATAACTCTACCTTCCTCTCGTCATCAACAAGAAGAAACAAATCAAAGGGGACCACCATATATCTACGTTCGGCACGGGCCAGTTTGCCCCCGCATCAGGGAGAGGAGCGATCTANCTCCTCCTTCTCGCACCATCCTTTGAGAACAACTAACTGCGGTGATGTGTTTTGAGTTCCAACTGCACCGTGTGCCCAGCAGAAGCTGTGTGTGGAGGAGCGAGCGTGGTTGCGGCAGGAGGCTGGGCAGGAGGCTGGGAGGACAGGAGAAGTTGTGGGCGGAGATGGGGTTGTGAGGGGAAACGAACCGAGGAGGGGCGTTAGGTTGAGACCCGTGCAAACCGTTCGTAGCGCGGACCGTCGAAAACAATAACTCTACCTTCCTCTCATCATCAACACGAAGAAACAAATCAAAGGGGACCACCATATATCTACGTTCGGCACAGGCCAGTTTGCCCCCGCATCAGGGAGAGGAGCGATCTGAACTCCGTGCGTTTTAGAGAGAACCAGTTGCATCCCTCACAGAGGGGTGTGCGCCGTTGTATCTTCGGGCCTGTTGCGAGCGATGTGTAACTGCAGCAGCGGTGACTAAGCATTACATGTTGTGGCGGAGGAACAAAAAATGGTAGAAAATTCTCTGCAAGAAAACAAAAAAGAACACGTTCTTGTCAATGAACGCGGCGTGACCCTGAGTTTCAAATCTGGATCGACAACCCTGAAAAATTGTTTTTCGAAAAGGTTCGGTCGTCTTTGGCCCTCTCCCGACACAAGCGGACGCGCGGCCCTCTCCTCCTCACTACCATCTCCTCCTCTCCTCTACACTTCTAGAGCATCTTGCCTAGCATCGTTGGTTGGCTGATCACCTGATTGCAGCATACATCGGTCCCACGCACATCAAGACAACTCATCGACTGCTACAGCAGTGTTAGCTCGGTCCACAGCAAGGCAGCTCGATACAACAACAGCAGCAGTACTTCAGCAAGAGCGATGGCGCCAGCAGCTGGGAGATCGAACAGGGGCAGCGGCGGCGTGGCCACGGCTGCGGCCGCAGCGGTTGGGGCGGTGGCTCTGGCCGTGGCTATGGCGGGGCGATCGGCTTCGGCGGCAGAGACAACATCATCATCGGCGGCAGCGACAACATCAGTCTGTACCAGGATGGATCTGGTGAACCATAACATCACCGACTACATCCGCTGGAGCAACATGAGCGATAGATTGTGAGTGTGGGGAGAGAGCGCAGCAGCCCTTGCTTCGCTTTTTATGTATAGGTTGCCAGAGCGAAGCTGTGTTGGTAACGTGTATTGTAGGGCCTACAAGCAACATACACACAGAGATGCACGCAGCAACGAGATAGACCGCGCAAGGTTTGCAACATCAACCGGCAGCTACAGGGTACCCAAACGGACGGACGGCGGCGTTGACGCGGAACTTTCGGGGTGCACAGGGCTAGCTACAGCTGCCGCGCATCAGCACCACTGCTGTGTTGTGAAAGCATAACAATGGCGAGGGGGGAGCTTGCTTCCAACCTTTCATTTCAGCTTGCATTGCTTTGCCTCCACAGCCAACCGCTGTTGCAATGTTTTGACTGCGACGTCTGTGATCGTATGTATATCACAAATGGGTAGCCTTTCCGTGTTTGTACTTGTGTTTCCTAAGACAACGACAACAACAACTGTCGTGTGCGGAAAGTCACACACACATGCCAGACCGTGTTACACTTGTAGTGCTTGATCACCTTATGTGGTCTACAGATACCAGAGGCAGCGTGCGCGGGGGAGGTTAGTCTAGAGCACACCCTTTTCTTCCGTGGGTGGATCATTCCACCGTAACACCAGCACCCTGGAACCTGTAGCATACAGGTGGACGGTTGTTACCAATCTTTACCGCATCAATCTCTATTTCGTACCGTGCAAGTAATTAATTCCACATCTGTCCCTACCCACGTCCGTTCACCCACCACGCTTACAACTTTCGTACTTGACACTTGCACAACTCGATCACCACGCTCACAACTTCCTATTCCCCCCTCCCTCCCCCTCCGTACACCCGCCGCCCGTTCGTCAAGATACTTGGAAAACGGTGCCTGTGTAACCTTGACTGACATCTACGAGTCCAGATCGGACGACTCGGGGAACAAGGGTCCGCTCTACCCTTTCGACGAGACCGCTTTGGACATTTCCGACACTGTCACGGGCTCCTGGTATCTGGAGTCCAGCCTCTACATCACGGAGGGCTCGAGGCTTGTGGTGCAGGGTGAGTGACGACAGAAACACCGCCCGTCTGTGTGGTGATTGCGGTAGCAGAGAAAAACGAGGGCGATAACTCTATTGTACGCATCCATCGTTGGCAGCCTTGATTGAATGCGTACGTGTACTTGACCAAATGTTCACACAACCAACCTTTTCGTCGTCATCCCGTCACCCCTCTTCCCTCCATCCGATCGATCCAGGGTTGAGCAAGGGCGGGGACTGCGACCACCTCCTGCTGGCCTCGTCTCCGGAGAAGTTCATCAACGTACGGGCGCACGGCGGCGAGCTCATGCTCGACGGCACCCACGTGGAGTCGTGGGACTTGGCGGCGGGGACCGTCGACGAGAACAACGAAGACGGCCGAAGGTGCGTCTTCGTCCTTTGTCAAGACCATCCATAGTGTGACATCTACCCAATACCTCCATGGTATCATCCATAGTGTGACCCATCTACCGATCACCTGCCTTAACTTAAAAATCATGATGTGGCTCAAAATAAAACAATTGCGAAAAACAAAAGGTTGGAGGGCTTCCTTGCCTGCTTTTTCTGGCGTCTAGCTGATATGTCCAAGAATAGAGCCGTATGGTGTCGGCTGACTGGACGCCAGCGAAGAGTTTACTGACTTGCCACGCTTTTTCCGTTTCTGCGACACGACCAACAGCTACCTGAGCGCGATTAGCGAGGTCATCACTGACCCAACGGAAACCTGCGACGGCACGGCGAAGAACGATATGGGGGAGGCTAGGATGGACATCATCGACTCGGAAGTCAACCGTGAGTGGGAGGGAAGGGAAGGGAAGGGAAGGGCGTCGTCTGTCTGACTCTTCTTNCGACTCGGAAGTCAACCGTGAGTGGGAGGGAAGGGAAGGGAAGGGAAGGGATCGTCTGTCTGACTCTTGTGGTGCGGAACATTTCAATTTTTGCTTTGGCCCTTGGTGCGACTGATTGATTCCGTAATTCGTTGGGCGATCGATGTCAATCTGCTGTGAAGAAAGCATGCTTTTCACAGATGTACAAGTCACTCTGCCCCCTTACTTCTCTCTTGCCACAATACAAAAANGGTGCGGAACATTTCAATTTTTGCTTTGGCCCTTGGTGCGACTGATTGATTCCGTAATTCGTTGGGCGATCGATGTCAATCTGCTGTGAAGAAAGCATGCTTTTCACAGATGAGAGAGATATGCGGCCGTGATATTTCTGTTGAGCGGGGGAGGCAAGTAAACCCGTGTACTGTATACAACGAAGCCTTTCCGAAACCGTCCACACACGAAGGCACAACACAAACAAGTCACTCTGCCCCCCTTACTTCTCGCTTGCCACAATACAAAACAGACCTAGGGTGGTACGACTCTGAGAGCTACGGCATCTCCTACAAGGTCCGAGGCTTCTGCACGGACCTCTCCAACCCGGAGCTGTTCGACTCTGTGTCCGTGACCGGAGACATCCTCGGCTCTGACATCCACGACAACTACTTCGGCCACTACTCCTATGGGCACCAGGGGGGCAACTGGAGCCACAACAAGGTGGATACTGCTATTTAAGTTTTTTCTCACTTTTTTGTTGCGGTACAAAGTACTTATTATAATACTTTTTTTGTTGCGGTTTTAGTGTTTCCGTATATGTATATATATCGTCCTTTGCAGGTACCAGTCATAGGCAGCATGCATCTATCTCTCGCTGTGTACTATCTCGATTTTCCACCACTCTCCTCTTGTGCCGTCATCCTTTTGTCCCTACCCTTCTCGCGTTACACGTGCTTGCGTTAACCCATCACCGTGCTTGCTTGGTTTTCGTTCTGCTGTTGTCCAGATGCACCACAACATCGGCTACGGTTTCGACCCGCACGACGACTCTGACTACCTCACCATCCACAACAACGAGGTCTACAACAACGGCTGGCACGGAATCAGTGAGTTTGCACTTGTCTGATGACTACTACTACTACTACTACTACTACTACTTGGGTTTTCTGTCTCCCCACTCCAAACACCCAGCTCTTTCCCAGAGCAACATCAAATCGTTGTTAGACTTGACTTAAACCTAACCTACTGCCCTTTGTCCCCACTCCGTGCGTGCTTTCTTTTTCAGTCGCCTCGAAGAGGTGCGATCACGTCAGCATCCAGAACAATCACGTGCACGACAACGGCCACATCAACGAGGCCGGCCAGCGCACGGGCAACGGCATCATGCTCCACCGCAGCTCGGACTACGGCACGGTGAAGAACAACGTCATCCACGACAACATGGACTCGGGCGTGGCCCTGTACGAGAGCTCGTACTGCGCGGTTTCTGACAACAAGATCTACGGCAGCAAGAGTGAGTGTCTAGTCACACAAGTGTCTCTCTGTATATACGTAACATGTATATAAGTAGTCACACATGTATGTGATGGGAAAAGTGGGGTGACAATTCTCACGACNCAAGATCTACGGCAGCAAGAGTGAGTGTCTAGTCACACAAGTGTCTCTCTATATATACGTAACATGTATATAAGAGGAGACAAAAAAAAGAGTATGCATGCTTGGCTACTTACATGACAAAGGACGAGTAGAAGCATGTTCGATGTTCGGAGATACCGCGCGCTGCTACAGATACTCTTCCGTGTATTTACATGTCATGTTTTCTTGCCCTTGTAATGCTTCCGGCTCTGCACTCATCAAACCCTCCCCACAACCCCCCACTTTGTTGTTCTTATTATTCTTCCTTCGTTCTCTCAGACGGCATCCGTATGTCGCTGGGATCCTCCGACAACCTCTTGTACGAGAACGACATCATCATCAACGGTCCCGATGCTAAGTACGCCATCTACCTCTACCAGGGCAACGACATCCCCGACGTCTCTGACGGCAGGCTGAGGAACAACCACATCTTCGACAACAGCCTCGTCAGCGACAACCAGGTGGTGAAGATGCTCAACTCCGACGACACCGCTTTCGAGGTGAGTTTTTTTCTGTAATTTTTTTTTCGTCGTGTTCTTCTTTCTCCCGCCTTTGCCTGTTGGTTGTGTTTTTTTGTCGTTCCTTTCAATATTTGTCTGATTTTTATTTTGAAGTTTCCCAAGCATCCCGCATGAGCCAATAGAGTGTGTTTTGTTCTTGTATACCCCGGGGTATGTGTGACCCACCACACAACGAACCGTAAAGTCGCCACCCTACAGGGTAACGTGGTCTACGGCAGTGTCTCGCTTCAAGCATCCCGCATGAGCAAATAGAGTGTGTTTTGTTGTTGTATATCCCGGGGTATGTGTGACCCACCACACAACGAACCGTAAAGACAAGACAAATTCCAACCCCCCACCCACCCCACTCACCCCACCCTACAGGGCAACGTGGTCTACGGCAGAGTGTCTCGCTTCAAGAACTCGTTCAACACCCTCTGGAAGAGCAACTTTGTTGAGGACGGCATCCACGACTACAAGCTCGAGCTCAACTCTTGCTTCGACCCGGAGAGTGACATCGAGGAGCCCGACACCTACGAGGATGTGGCGGCCATGGAGGAGGAAGAGGCAACCACCTACTCGTACTCGTACGATTTCGACGTCTCCGAGAGCGGCTTCTTCTGTGTATGATGATCATGATCATGAGTTAAGGGCAGAGAACAAAGAGTTATGCCGTGCTTCTGTTCTTTTCTATGAAGCATGGCATGCATTCCGAAGAGAGTAGAAAACGCGGCTAGATAGCTAGCTGCGAGAAGGGGGGGAGAACAATCTGGGTTTTGTTTTTCTTTCTTGTGGTCGTATGTAGCTGCTGCGAGCGACCCTCCCGTTTTTTATCGTCTTGGCGAATACGAGGGGGTGTAGTAGCCGTTCACCCATGTATCTAAATAACCCAGCGTTGTCCGTCGTGTGGTCTTGTCTTTTGTGTGTTTTTGTGTGTGCGTTAGGGAGAAGGGGTAATAGAACAAGAAGAGCCGTAGGTAAGGCCATCAGGACGAGAGACGGGGGAGTCTTTTCTCCTTTCTCGCGGCTCGCCTTGCCTCCTTGCCTCTACCTTTCTCTGCCCTTGTCCCATCGTCCCACGCTTTGTTCCTGTTGCTGCGTGGTTGGTTCCTGTTTCGTTGGAGTCCTCTACCGTTTGTCGTTGCGTACTCCTATTATTTACCGGTTCGTTCGCGCTTTTTGGTTTTGTGTGTGTGTGTGTGTGTGTGTGTGTGTGTGTTTTTTTTTT